CCATAATCTTTATATAATTTATAATATACAATGTATGTACGTTGAAATAATAGAATCATATGGAATCTGCATTATTGCTATAAAATCAAGCTTCAATCAATATTATCATAAAGTCAATAATTGCTGTAACAAATTTTGTNACTTTCGTTAAAGGCAAAATGAGAAGAATTCAATACAATTTGAAGTAAAGAAAATGTATAAAATTATATATGTATTTAAATATAAATATTCAGTTTCCAATAACTTTTTAAGTGCCGTAACGATCATTATTTGTAATTCTTTCATCAGTTTCAGTTAAATTAAAAAATATCNACATTTCTCTACACTTTCGTTAAAGGCAAAATGAGAAGAATTCAATACAATTTGAAGTAAAGAAAATGTATAAAATTATATATGTATTTAAATATAAATATTCAGTTTCCAATAACTTTTTAAGTGCCGTAACGATCATTATTTGTAATTCTTTCATCAGTTTCAGTTAAATTAAAAAATATCTTCTTCTTTCACGTAAAATTAAACATTTCAGCACAATTTTATCCAATTTCTTTGTTTTAGTTGGTAACATCTTTCATGAAAGATTATAATGATCGTTGCTTGCAAATTCAAGAAACTAAAATACATGAACGAGGAACATTTTCTCGCATTCTATTTCTCTAATATTCGAAGAATACTTATCGAGTACATATTGAATAATATTTTACAAATATACTCCGACGCCACTAATTTTTTAGCATTACACGTTCATGTGATTGGAAGCACCTCGTGTCGTTACTAACACAGAAATAGCCTGTCGAAGGTACTCGAGAATCACTACATTATCGTCCTTGCCTCTGTCGTCGAAGCCATCCCCCGTGTTTTCATGGCATTGACACATATCGGGAATACAAGATTCACAGAGTGAAGCTGTTGCGTAATGTCTCTTTTTAAAAATAACTTGTCGTAATGACTGAAGGTGGTACGAAATGTTCTTTCGTCAAGCTCTTTGGCTTCGCCGTATCTAGAAATAATGGAATAATGAAATAACGGAAGGCATGCGTTACGCAAAGTTGCGAATATTATGGAACAACCTTAAACTGAATTTACGCGAAACCTCATATCTGTAATGTAATGCCTCCATCCTCGAAACTTTTCAATTGCTGTGCCATTATTGATCACGGTGGCACGTTTTCAAAGTGAAATTTCATGTAGAAGTTCTCACCCCTTGACGTCGAACTTTCCCTTTGTCATCATTTGCATTGGAAGGATAGAGCTTTGAAATGGAAACAGTAAGTTGATAAAAAAAGATACAGAATTAATTAAAAAATATGTAATAAACAGAACGTCGTACCTGGACGTACAAGGGAAATGAGTAAAACATTATTCATCATCAGTTACCTTAAAATTAACTCCAGCGCGATGAACAGTTTTGACAGAAATAACTAATTACGCTTGGGATCATTTATAATGTCATTCATCAATTTTTTCAATATGTTTTTTAAAATGCATTCTGTGTTGAAATGGACCCGATCTCCGCTGCTCGAATGTTAAGAAGCTCAACACTTTTACTGGCAGTTCTCTAATGGTTCTCTAATGAATTACTCGTTGTGTTTCTTTTACAGCTGCGTTAATTAGTACTTCTTCATCCTTAATCATTTCCTTAATAGCACGAGACAATTTTTGTTTCTTGTATGTCTCCATTTACTTTCGATTGGATTTTCTAAACTGTACAAACACCCTAACTTATGCCAAAATATGTTAACCATTCAGCCATGCAAGTTGAAAAAGCTGCACCAAACGAAGTATTGATTCGCAACTAAATGAGATTTACTGTGCACGTGAACAAGGACACTCTGTTCACGCTTTGCACTAATATCGGATCAAATTCAATCTAACGTTCAAGGCTACTCGATCGATCCTAAATCGGGTTATCTGCTTAGGTTTTTGTGCCAAGCCTCGCATATTTGTTTCGCAAATGAAGGTTGTGTAGTATTTTATAAGATCTGCTGGATTGCCACCGAGACGCCTCACTGTGAGGCAGAAAATACCCTAAAATGATAAAAAACATTTTCTAACTGAAAATTGTTAGACATTAATATATATAAACACTATGTGTTTATCTCCAACGTATAGATTTTTTGTAATAAGACTTTAATATACGGGGTGTTCGGAAAACGATGTTACAACCGTCAAGGGGTGATTCTACATATAAAAATTTGACACAGAATAGACGTTTCAATGTTTCAGTCTGTATATTTTATAAAACTAAGTTGAGATTTTTTGCTTCTGATTTATCGTACCATCAACTGTTACGGTTATTAGCGACTTCATGTTATTGTTCCATTATATTTCTTCTATTATTTTATGTCCTTGATGTATTCAAGTAATTTGCATATCTCTTCGTTGAGTCGAAGTTGTCCTTCAGTAGGAGTTCCAGTTTGTGTTTTCGACGCTGATGGATGTATCTTGGACAGTCCAAAATGACATGATCGGTTATGATTGATGTATTGCGGCCTTTAGATATCGATGCTAATCCCTTGGATAGTGTTAGATAATACTCTGTATGACTTACAGATCGATAAAAGTGAATTTTGAATATATATTCATTCTTCGAAAAAAGTTAATTCCAGCACTGTTAGATATTTTCATACGAAATTCCAAAAACACTACGGTGACGTCAATAATTATAAAAATCACTCTAGCTACACCAAAAGTTATCATAGTTTTTTGTTTTACAATTGTTTCACTTCAAATAATTATTGCTTGAATTCTATTATTAATTTATAAGTTCCCAATGTTTTACATATTATTGGGTATCTTAATAACAATGATTTTCTACAAGAAAACATTCAGACTTAATTTAAATTTCATCATTTAACAACTGTAGAAATTAAAAATGATTTAAAGTTTTGCTCAAAGTGGTAAGGTTTAAAGAAGTAGAAAAATTAGTGGTAAGGTTTAAAGAAGTAGAAAAATTAGCTACTATCAGCAGCGATTAATAAAATAAATCTGATATATGTATATAATGTGTATATTAGATTTATTTTATTAATAGCAGCTATTAGCAGCTAATTTTTCTACTTCTTAATTTTCTTTTTCTTCTTTCATTTCATTGTATTCTCTTATATTACGATTACTTATTAAAGATTCAATGAAGCTGTAGTACAAAATTTCGACAATTGGCCGATGATGTTCAAGAAAGTAGGTGTTTCGTTAGAGTGTGCGCTATCACGACAAAATATTGGCAGCGCTTTTTTCTCTTTGCCTCGACGCTCGGACTCGTGAAATTAGATCGTGCCAATAATTATTGACGCGTAATCTCCCTCGTTCCGGGTTTCAATCAGAAACGTTCCAACTTCCGTCTGCGCACTTGAACGTCACGGAAATTACTTTATCCCCTCCGCAACGCTCCGCTTCGCCACAGAAGAAACCAAGTTTCGCGCTTTTCGTTCCTCGCGCCTCTTCCTTTCGCAGAAATCCAGTTAGCGCAACTTAATATTCGTTTTGCCAAGCCTTTTTTGTTTCACTTTGAATCGCAGTCGCGACAGTTTAGCGTTTAATCTCGCTGCGTCACGAGAAACCATTTCGTTTTGAGTGGCACGCATTGTGAGAGTTTAACGTCTAAATGATTCATTTTAGCTGGAATAAGATCCCCGACACCTCGTAATCACTGCCCGAGGGCGTGAATCCGGCAACCTCAGAAACCACGCTGCGTTAGAATTGGGTTCCATGCTATGCGTGACGTAATATTGATCTTGGGGAAGCACAATGCCTCTTAATGAGTCATGTTAACCTTAAATTCCTAGCTGATATTGTGCAATATTCCTGAACGTTCTAGAGGCAGTATGTCGCACTCTCGCTGCAAAAATGACGAAACTTAAGCGGGTATTCCGGCTTAGAACTTCTAAAAAATCGAATTTTTTCAGAGACCATAACACTGTTATGACCATATCAAGAAAAAATTGTGTAACCACTGGATTCTGCTTAAAATGATTTTAGTTGCCAATAACCATTATAAATGACGAAAACAGTTTTTGATTATGGATAACCAGAAATATATTGTTTATGAATAACCATTACCGACGATTGAAATTTTGTTTTTATTACGTCCAATTCTTGAAATTTCGATTATGAAGTATTTATAATATAGACTTAACATGCTTCACGATAAGTAATTTTGTAATAATTGTGCAAAAAGTAATCTGTTTAATGATTAACGATTGTAACTCTTTAGTTATTACGTATTATCATAAATTATTTGTAATTATAACTAAGTTATTATAAATTATTTATGATTATAACTAATTATAATTTATAATCATTATCAGATTACCTTTTGCCCAACTCTGGTCTGAACGGATAGTAGAAATTGATCTTAATAAGAAATTGTTCAATCACATTTCGAAACAAAAAAACACACTTCTCTGAGTCGTGTTACTTATAATCTTCGTGGGGTAGATATGGACGAAAGTCCTTAGATGTGTCTTCAATTGCTGCTGAACGATCCGAGAGACAATAAATCTGGCAGTTGCGGCTGAAAGGTCGCGGAATATAGTAATCGCGAATGAATCCAGTGGCATGGAAGACATGATAAGTAGTTCCCGTTTAACTTGTATTATTCCCTGTCTCTCACGAAGCTCCCCTTTGCATCGCCAGCGGATGAGCCCGGCAACGGATACGTGCACGTAATTGTGTCAATAAAAATAATACCAGCGACGCAATCGAATCAATTTATCGGATGCGGGCCCGTTGCGTTTAAATTGCATCGTGCTCCTCTCTTCTGATTCAATTTCTGCGCAAAAACTCTGAGGATGTATTCGCGATTCTCATGAGAGACCGAGAGTTCCCCGACTATCATTAAAGCGAAAAATGTGGGAGGATATTGGCTCGCAACTGTTCGAGCTGAAATACATCTCTCTATAAAAACGTTATCGGCCGGAGCCTTAAAACTTTTGCAGCAGAGAAACAAAAATTATTTGGGAAACTTTTTTGACAAAAATCAGGAACACAATCGTGTTCACTAGTTAAGTTGAAACTATTAATCGCGAAATGTAAAAGAAACTGTTCGAAAATCGATAGGTTCAAAAGATTTCAATTTTTGATTAAAAAGTGATAATTTCAATTAATCGAATATTTTGTTCGTTGCTAATGATCATTGTTGATGGAATTTTTACTTCTTTCTTTTATTTCTTTTATTAATGTTCTTAATTGATACTGCAATTAATTACATTTGTATTATTTGTTGTTGTAAAAGCTTGCCGATTTCAATACATATACCGATAATCGTTACTATTATTGGTGTAGTTTTTAGCAAGGGACCAACAAATTTAACCATTCGAATTAAATTAGTAGTTGTTATGCAACGATTTCTTTCGTGTTGATTATGAAAATTTTCTTTTCTTTCATAAAATTAATGTTATTTTTATTATAAAGTAATTACAATAAATGTACGTGGTCAACGGTTATCGCATATTACAAACAAATTTAAATAGTTTGTAAATTTTGTTCACAGTAATTTCAATTATTATGAGAACATTTTTCATAACTTTGTTGTAACTTGAAAAGAGAATGTTTCTCAATTTTTATTTAATATTAGCGTTACATTATTAATCTGTTCAATTACAAATGAAATAGTGTCCACCTTTATATGAATATATTAAATAAAAACTGAAATATTTTAGTTTTGTTTTATGATAACTCCTCGCACATACAGTTGCGTGAAATTAAGTTATCTGTGCATGCACGTTTCTTTGAAAATAAATCGTAAGGCGTGCAGTTGATACAATTAAATTTGAAATAAAAAGAAATTATAACAATTCCCTATAGGTTTTCCACAATTATCTAATCTTCTGTAACTGTTCAAATAATTTTGGAATTGGACGTACACGAGTGGCGGTATAGCGTCTGCGGCAAATGTAAGAAACGGTAACCAATTAGAAGTTTTGTTTCTTCCTTGAACACTAGAACTGCTGATTAATAGTTCTGGTGTTCAAGGAAGAAACAAAACTTCTAATTGGTTACTGCTTCCTACAATTACCGCAGATGATTTTTATTTTCCATGAAGATCCGCAGTTTAGCAATCACCGTTATTTATTCCGTCTATTGCTTTTTGTTCAAAGTGTCGACGGTTTAGTGGATTACAGGAAAGATTAAAAAATGCTGGCGATCATTATGCTAATTAGAAAAAGAACTAAGAGTTTGAATGGGTATTAAGTTGGTACACAACAATTTCTCGAGCTTCTTCTCCGTCGGCAGTGTCTGCCGATGAATCATGTTACTAGGATTATGTCCCTAGTATATCCAAATATTTATCACGACATGTCTTGCCAACGTTGTCTCGATAACGTTGCCACTATATCATCATTTAGTAGTATCTCCTACGTGCGGAATTAAGAGATCCCGGAGAATGTATCCTTGCAGCAACTCGAATAATTGGGAGGCATTAAAATGGAGACATTAATAATTAAACAAGCAGAGATTATGACTTGTAAGCCAGTTCATTATGCGATACACGGGTCACACTGTAATTAAGACCGAAGCAATCGAAGTAAACGAGAACTTCATCGGACAGTTATTTTATTCTAGAGAGTTTTTTTTATGGCTAGGGAAAATATTGAACGCCAGTTCACGCGGTTTTGTTGCCCTTTGTTTGAATCGTTTTCGCTGTACAAATTCTGGGTAAGAAATTAATAAACATTTCAAATGAATTTTTTGGTTAACGTAAACTTTTGATAAATAGGGAAATTCCTCAGTAACGGTCGTGATAAAATGAAACCTGTAGAACGGCGTAATGCTACGGAAAGAGTAAACAAGTCTAGACGCATGCGGACTGTGTATTGATTACTTACCAAACTCGAGAATAAAAAGTAAAAAATGTTGGAATAGAGGGTGCTGTCAACAAACTGCACTATTTAAAAGAATGAAATCCGTCTTTCTTCTCAATCAGGGATTTACTATTCAGATCTACGAGATAAACGAAACAGTAGACATCATAAACAAAATTTCCTATTGCAGATCTTGTTCAAATATATAATTACTATAGACCTTATCATAATAATCTACTAAATTATTTGTCACTTGAAGTGGTTGTTTCATGTACAACGAAGTGCCAATCTTCAAATTCGGAGTGCAATGTCAGTAAAATTTCACTTTAACACATTAAGTGCCGATTGGGATAGTGGAGCGATTACTGTGGGGGTGACCAATTGCTGTGCCTTTGGTTCGTTTTCTTAATTAACTTTTATTAATTTCTCATAAATAAAACTTTATATTCATCGAATAAAACAAATTACATTTTTTATTAAAAAATAAACGAAATTAAGGAATTTCATCAACCCCAAAAATTTATGAAGCCATTTATAGTTTAACTTAGTTATTAGTTAATAGTTCAAAATCCTGGTTACATTCAGTTTAATCGATCTGTTACAATAAAAATGAGTTTTGAAAGCTAGTTAAAAATTAGTGTCACTCATATGTGACCAAAACGGCGCTCAACATGTTACAATAAAATTTTAACGATCGAATTGAAATTTAAAATTCAATCGAGCGTGTTAACAAGTTCTCTATTTCTGTTGTTGTTTTTCTAGTGGTTGGGTTTGGGCATCATGGCTGTGGGTGTATGGGCATGGGCCGAGAAGGACACGTTTAACAACTTGTCCCGTCTCACAAACGTTGCGCTCGATCCAGCGTTTATCCTGATTCTAGTCGGTAAGTTACAGATTCCGTAGTTCCCCGAACCTTTCGCCTTACACGAAGGAGAACATCGAAATTTTCAAATGCTTTGTAAATAACAATCTACGCTGCAGGTTCCGTAACATTTGTCATTGGATTTACGGGGTGTGTTGGTGCACTCAGGGAAAATACGTGCCTCTTAGCTGCAGTAAGTACTAAAGAATTCGATCAAGTGCATCAAGATCGATGCATTTTATTCCATCAAATATCTTTTCTCCCTACGAACGATCTCTTGCGACGAATTCTTCGACTTCCCCGTCTATTTTGGCGCGAAAATGTCTAACCTCTTCGATTCCATGAATTTTTCAACTACTCGTTAATTTAAAATGTTTGACGACTTCGATTTATCGGATTCGCAGTTTTATTTAATAAGTAGACTGCGAACTTTTATGCATTTATTAAATCGTCTGTGTCAATAAAAATTAACATCTTTTATTATCTTCTTTATAAAGAACTTCGTGATCAATCAAATCAATTTTTCTCTGAATTTAGTCTTTGTAAAATGGAGTATGAAAATGCAAATATGCATAAAGATTCGTAGTCTATTAGTAAAATTGTATATAAAATGTGCAAGGAATGTAGCTATACGCAAATTGTTATTGCTAGATTGCCATCGCAGATTTTTCTCTTACATTCAGGACGTTTGTATGTATACCGGAATAAGTGCTGAAAATTTAGGAATGTATCTTACTTATTTCAAGGGTAAAAAGTGGTCCTATTTTTATATTATTATACATATAAGTAACTACAGGGTGTCACATAATTATGTTAAAACCCGGGAAGGCGTGAAAATGCAATACGTGGCTTTTTGTTTACGAGTTATTAACGAAAAATACTGATGGATGAGAAGCGAGCTCAGCTGGCGCAAGGCGGTCGAGCTAACGAGCGGTCGAAGCCCAGTTCCGCTGATTGGCTCGACCGCCTAGCGCTAGGCAAGCTCGCCTCTTATTGGTCAGCGTTTTTCATTAATAACTCGTAAACAAAGCTGTGGACTGCATTTTCGCTAAGGAAAAAGTTACTTCAAATGATCTCAGGAATCACCCCTTTTTGGGTGTTAATACAATTATGGGACACCCAAAAACCCAATACCACTTACCCAGCAGTTTTGCTGGATATGAATATACAAAAATCATACAACTCAAATGAGATTACATAAAATGTTTCTCGATGATTAATGTTATTAGACGTTTTGGATTGTGCTGAATCGTGTCGTTTATAATATACATAAGTAATCGAGAGGCATTGTTCACCTAAACATTTTATTCCTTTCTAAATTCTTCGACTGTTAGAACAAAATTAATTATCATGTAATATTGTACACATTTGTTGCAGTATGCAATATTTCTGGCATTATTGTTGCTAATGGAAATGGCAGCTGGCGTCTTAGGTTTCATCTTTAAAGACTGGGTAAGTTGCAAACAAGTTTCCATCTGTTACGATGCAACGTTTTCAAAGATTCTCTGTAGCATATAACTAAGCCAAAGACCCTAGCAACTTCAAATCTCAACCCGGGGTACAGCTAGGATCATAAACTTAGTACGTGGATCATTTAGGTGCATTGTACACTCAGCACATATGTATAATTCTGAAACAGCTCTAATTCCCGTAGCACGTGAAGTAATTCGTAGTTCATTCGAGACTGTCATATACATTTATTCAAAATGTATGTTAAAACTTAATACAAGAAATTCAAAAAAGATATCTTCAATTTTGAGATTGAAATAGAAATAAAAAATATTATAAAATGTGTGCATTCCAATTTAGGAAAAGCTTTTTGAAAGTTTCATGTTTCCAGATGGGACCATTAGCGCTGGAATAAATAAAATGTTTCAACGTATTCGGTTGTTGTTACAACAACGGTAGTTCCCGTAGTTCATGTTTTTAATCATATTTTTATATTTACATTCAATATTTCTTTCAACCTTTATGTTATTTTCTAAAGTTGCTACTAACAAAACGATATTTATGTTTTCCAAATTTGTATACAGCATAATTGTTAGATAAATTAATCTTATTCGATTTTTCTACGTTTATATTTTTATTTTCGATTTTAAATTATTGTATCGTGT